TCTTTGTCACAAAACTTAGGAACCAAAATAACATCAATGCGTGTCGAATGGTAGTCTAAAAGCTATTATTTAACAACTATTATCTCTGGTCGTCGACTGATTTCCCTCTCCCTAGTTTGCGAATACTATTTTAAAAATCAATAATTTTATTTATGTATACAGACTGTCTTAAAAATGAATGTTTTGAATTTAAAGAAATATGTCTATTTTTAATTTAAATCTCAATATGTAAAAAATCTTTTGGCTTCAACCTTACTTTCATAAAACTATTAAGCCCCATACTCACACTTCGCTCCTTCCTCGCCTTACTTCCTCGCGTTACTTCCTCGCGTTCCTTCGTCCCTTCGCTTCCTTCCTTCGTCCATTCGATGCTTGGAAATTAGTCAGTTATGCAACAACACACCACAAAATATTTTTAATATAGCAGCTACATGTTTAATACGAAATATCTAGTAACCTCTAAAAAAATTCCGAAAGGCGCATAATTTTTATTTTATAAAACTGCAATTCTTTGTCGTGTCAAAAATAAAAATTGAATTTTAATAATATATTTTTTTTAATAAATCCGAATATTTCAGTATCATGTATAACTATACTGATATACCAGTATGAATGTACAAGGCGAGTCAACAATAGAGAAAAGTTTATTATGTAATTTATATCGAAACCATGAAATATGACATACTAATTAAACGTTAATGATGTGAATCCCCATTTCTTCAGATATTTTTGTAAAGGCATCATGCACATTATTTCTATTTTTTTATTTTTGTCGCTACGATTACATAAATATGGACATGCATTCTTTCACAAATATGAAGACAATATTGTTTTTTTCTTCCATTTTTTAGACTATTGTGTGTGAATTATTTTTATATCGACTGGCGATTGCTAGATGAACAGGATGTCCCATTTGTGTGTGTTTTATATGGGGTTTCTGGTTTATGAGTAGAGATATAAAGATGCTGTTTTCACATCATTGTTCTACTTATTATGAAACTAAATATGCTACATAAGAAATAAGAAATAACTTTGAACTAAGAAGGCTAGGATAAATATGTATTTATCCTAGCCTTCTTACTTCTTACTTTTTATTTTTTAATTAGTAGAAATTTTTGCATTTTTCGATAACCTTTGTATCTCGATTATCTTATAACTTATCGAAAAGGTGAAAAGGGTCAGTGATGGGCGGTGGGTAAGTACCCAATTTGTAGATAAATAAAATCTGGGTATATATGTATATACCTGTAGATTTAGATGAACATCCTAATTTTAATAAAAGGAGTTTCCGACGACGGCATAGTAAATACCCGGTATAATGCCGGGAATAGAAATATACCAATATATAATATCTACAATATATATATAAGAAATATTGTAGATATACTCGTATTCCTGACATTACTGGTATTATATCGGGTATTTACTATTCGGTCGTTGGAAATACCTTTTATAAAATTAGACTGTTCATCTAAATGTACAGGTATATACCGGATAACCTGATTTTTTGTTTTGTTCTACCTATTGAGTACTTACCCACCACCCGTGTCTCGTTTTTCAGGTAGAATGGCAGTGACGAAAGTGGTTCTTCGTTGGGAGCTGTCTATTTCGAAAAATGACTCAAACTCATGTTCTTTTTTTAAACAGGATATATATTATTTTATTTTATTTGCCTTGTTAATCTTTGATTAACGAGAGCTTTCGAAAATTATAATATACTCTATATTTATTTATTTAGGTACTGCTAAACTGCTAAACGGCTCTTATTTTATTTAACTTAATTTTACCAGATAATTTTGCTTTGCATCATGATATTTGGATAAACTACACGGAAACTGAACTTGTGCTGCTTTTAAATAACATGCCAATAACCAACATTTTACGTCGAATTAATTAGTTGATTGTTTTGATTACCTAATTTAAACCAGCCGACTATGTAATAAAGTTAAGTAATGCATTTTTACCCCGTTTATGAAAATAAGTATTTTAGAAAGCTCGTATCAAGGAAAATAAAATAATATACAAAATATTGTATTTAAAAAAACATATAAGTTTTAATCAATTTAACAAAAGACGTCAGAGTTACGTCACTGCATTCTACGTGAAAAACTGTACGGGAGACCGTTTTCACCTTTTCGATAAGTTATGATACAAAGAGGATCGAAAAATGCAATAATTTCAGATTCGCGCTGTATTTTAGGAAGTAAGAGAGCTAGGACATATCTGTATGTAGCATCTTTAGTTTCATAAAAAAGTAACAGCGTAATGTGAAAACCGCATCTTTGTATTTCGACTCATAAACGAGAAACCCTGCAAAACACACGAAAATGGGACACCCTGTACAGACGTACTGCCAAATCAAGAAATCAACTACGAATGAAATCCAAGATTGATTTAAATATTTTATATATTTTAATATTTTTTTGTGTTCGTGATAATTCCTTTGCTACTTCCTCCAAAAACCGACAATACGTGGAAGGAGCGTTTCGAGGAAGTAAACAGACGAAGTAGCGTTTTAACGAAGGAGGAAGGAACACACAGTCGCATAAAATCGACATTTTCCCATAGTAAATATATGATTTTTCGACGAAGGGACGCGAGGAAGGAACGAAGTGAAGTAGCGAAGTGTGAGTATGGGGCTTTTACTCTCGGAAAGTGAAATATTTAATAGAAAAAGTACATATTTAATAGGTTCTAAAAATAAAACCTTACGAATATTTAAAATAATGGAGAAAAATTACTAAAACCAGTTATAACTCATGAAATTCTAAAAAATGCTATTCTAGAGTATAAGGCACTTCCTCAACAGTAACCTAGAAAATTACCATTTCAATTTGTTTGAAAATTAAGGGCCCTCAGAGCAATTAGTTAACAGATTTCTTTAATAATCTCCAGCTTAATAGCCCTTCAACGTTTTTCCTGTTTTTACATTAATTTCATTTTCAGGGATTGATTAATATATTACCAGGCTGGGAAGTTTCAGTAAAGGAGTTTTAATTTTATAAAAGTGGAGATATTAAATACGATGTTTAATGAACTTTAGTTGTGGGATCTTGTTAAGAAATAAGAAATATTAATAGTGTATTAAGGTAGTGACTGTTTTAAGGAGAATTTTGTGCATGAATGGAACAGCTGCAGACCATGTGCAATGCCATGAGTGTGTAATATGGTTTTGCAAAACGAAATAACTAACCTTACTTAACCAGTAGCCTATGACTTTAAACATCAAGTGTTGTAAAGCAATAGATCTGGCCATGTCATATTGTGACACTTTGTTCAAAAATCAGTATGTTATTATACTCTGTTTTTTTTTCTCAGGTAAGATTTCGATAGACGATGACAGAAAAAAAGCAGATGACTTCCATGCCAATCCATTTATTTCATTAAAAAAAGTTTCTAATATTTTTTAAGTTAACTATGGATGAGTATATAAATAAATACGTCATACGTCGTCTCTTGTTATTTTTAAGCAGTTTTATTGGTTTATTTCAAAAATGATAGATTATATTTCAATATTATTGGTTTGACGCAACGATAAACGACAAACGGACGCCTATGCGTATGAACTCGACTTAAGATTTTTGAGAGTTATCAAATTCTTGTCAAATCATAGGTTATAATGTTGTGTCAAATTATGTCAAATAGAAATGATAAATATTTTGCATTTTGGACTGTGTTGTTACTTGTTACTTGTGTTTCGTGTTTTTTAAAATTAAGTGCAGGAAAACTCAAGGGAAAATTATGTGTTGACCCAGACCATAGTTTTACAGTTAATATTCGGTGCACAGGGACCGCCAGAGACACAGTTTGCCAGATACTATGGCCCGAGAGTTGTATTAGCAACAAATAAAGTCGTATACCATCTCGTATATGGTACCAAGAACTGGAGTATCTATAAAATAACATCACACGATGGGTAAATAATACAATTTAGTACTGTAAAAAATTAAGATTAAACTTAATTTACCAAGATTAGATTTTTTCTCTTTTGTACAGTTTCTTTCACAGTATTTTGAAGTAATCACTTGTCACTCAAAATTTAAATAAATTAATTATGCGTTCCAATTGTACCAACTTATTTCTTTGTAAAATAAAATAATTTTGGATATTAAAAAGAATAATAAATGTAAAGAACGAATTTATCTCGTGCATAATTTCTTGAAAATATCATGCATAAAAATGTAATTCCGGGAGTTTCTCTTGGGATAACGAATTAAAGGGTGTATAGAATTCAATTTTTAAAAGTGTGTGACTTGCCAGATTTTCCATTTAGACGCCTGTTATTAACTGACACACTGTAGTTGTTAAGCGTAGTTTACACGGGCAAGTAAATTATCGCAAGTATATGTCTGAGAGCACTTCTACCAAACTTGCATAATGTAAACAGTATTCGAAAGCACTCTCCCAGCAAGTCACAAAACTGACGGGGAAGTGGTTGCGACGAAAGACGCTTGCAAGTGTAAACAGGTTGGGAGAGTGCTCTGGCAAGTTAAAATTTATTTCCGTCTTGTTGAAAGTTTTTGGTGCAAGTGATTTTCGAAGGCGTGTTAAATAACGATATTAAAATGGAGTATGTGGTTGAAAGAAGATACCATCACTTTGATTAATTTATTTGAAGGATTTCCGCAATTGTGGCAAAAAAATCGAAAATTTACAGAGATAGAGTAAGGCGGGGTAAAAGTCCTATCGGGGCAAAAGTCCTATCATCTAATATTGCGGGCATTGGTGATGAGATGTCGCTGCGGCTTGACTTTTAAGGAAATCATCATTTGATTTTTCCTTCTTTATCTTTGTGTCTTGATTAGATCGCGTTTGTCGGAAAAAATGAGGTAAGTACATTTTTATAACAGTCTCCTATTATTTTTTTGTTTTTTTAAAGTGTGATGCGACAATAACTTATGAACGATATTAACGCAGTGCATAATAAGTATTTTCCACTCTTAACGGCATAACCTAACCTATAAATATTTGGCGGGCATTGATTTATTCTTCTAGTAATAATGTGCTGTATTGTTGAGGTCGATTGGGGCAAAAGTCCTAAAGTCGATATGGGGCAAAAGTCCGAAGTCGGACTTTTACCCCGGGGTAAATGTCCGACTCCGGACTTTTGCCCCGTATAAACTATTAGGTCATTTTAAATATAAATAATAGTTTTACCCCCTCTTTTCAGGACATATAAAAGAAAGTCAACTAGAAAACCTATAACTCAAGACATGGTTAATGAAGCTCAGAAGAGAATGGCGGAAGGAGAATCTCGAAAAAGGATTGCAGATAGTTTTGGGGTTGACGAGTCTGGTTTGAGGAAAAGAATGAAGAAGGGGTTTGGAGTTGAACATTTGGGTCGGTTCAAATCGACTTTTACGCCAGAACAAGAAAATACCTTAGCTGAACATTGCCGTCAAATGGATGCGAGATTTTATGGATTGACGTATTTAAGGCTTAGAAGTCTTGCTTATGAATTTGCTGAACGGAATAGGATCCAACACAAATTTAATAAGGAAACGAAAACTGCAGGAAAGGATTGGGCGCTATCGTTCGCCAAAAGATACAAGTTTTCACTCAGAATTCCCCAAAAGACTAGTGTGGGGCGCATAATGGGTTTCAATAAAGCTCAAGTCGATCTATTTTTTCAAAATTTAGAAGAAATAACTAACGTTCCACCAGCACTAATTTTTCCTCGAAAGCGTCCTAAAGCTGAGCTTATGGATGGATGCATTCCGGAAGCTACAATGTTCGTCTCTGAGTCAGGATATGTCAACTCAGAATTGTTTGTCCAATGGCTAAAACACTTCAAGAAACATGTCAGAACGTCTGCCGAAAATCAGGTTCTATTAATATTAGATAACCATTCGTCGCATATTTCTTTGAAGTGTGTAACCTATGCAAAAAATAATTATATACATCTTTTAAGCTTACCCCCACATTCCAGTCATAAAATGCAGCCCCTGGATCGCACAGTTTTCAAGGTTTTAAAGGACTATTACGGTAATTATTGTGAACAATGGATGAGCACACATCCTGGCAGAATAATCACACAATATCAAGTGGCGGGACTTTTGCAAAAGCGTATGAAAAAACTGCGTCTATTGGAAGAGCGGTCAAAGGGTTTGAAACTTGTGGAATATGGCCTATCGACAAACATAGGTTTGGAGAAGAAGACTTTCTTCCAAGTAGCGTAACCGATCAACCACAACATGCCATAAACCCAATTGCACACGTTCCTACTCTAACTGAGAATATTTCATCACAACCATCAACATCGGGTTTATATGTTCAAAATAAACAAACAAATAGTGATGTCCATTCATCCTTAGATGAAGATGATAATGTGCCTCTAATTAACCTGAAGCTACAATTGAAAAAACTATTCAACCTGCCGACATAGTTCCTTATCCAAAAATACAAGAATATCGTCAAAGGAAAGGTAAGAGTCACAAATCTAAGATATTAACATCTACTCCGAATAAAAAAAGTCTGGAAGAGGAACGTCAGAGAAAATTAGAAGGAGAGCAAACGAAGACAAAAAAGAAAAGTGCTTCAAGACTCTGAAGAAGAGAAAATAAAAAGAAAAAAGAAGGTATCTTTGCTGGAAGACGTCAATAACGAATCAGACACATTTTGTTCAGGGTGTGGCACTAAATTTGAAGAACCAATAGTAGAAGACTGGATACAATGCTCAATTTGCAAGCAATGGTGGCATGAAAAATGTACATCTTATGAACAAGGAGAATATCGATGTGACTTTGATAAAATGTAGAAACAAATATTTTATATATTTAGAGGCATAGTCTAAATATATAAAATATTTGTTTCTACATTTTATCAAAGTTGAACTGTATAAAACATTTTTTTTTTACTAGGGAAAGACCTTATCAACAAATGATTATATTTTTACTTAAGGGGACTTTTGCCCCTCTTTTCTAGGATTTTTGCCCCATTTATGGGGTAAAAGTCCCATTTTTCAACACTAAATTTTTTTTCAAATAAATAAATGTGATTAATTATTCTGCCGTTTTTCTTGTAAAACTTTTAAAGAGGAAGGTTTAAGAAAGTCATATATAAATTTGTGAAAATTTGAATTGATATCTTTAAAAGTTTACACTTATCGAAAACTAACATCAGACTTTTGCCCCGCCTTACTCTAAAGCTAAAAAGCAAAAAGTAATCAAATTTATAGCTGACAAATTGAGGCTGAGATTCAGCGGAAGCTACATAATATTCGTACCCAAGCAAACCAGGAGCGGAACAAAATTATAAAAAGAAAAAGTAAAATCGACTTCTGACATTCGCAGAAAATTGTTTAAATGCTTTGGATCTTCATTTCTTATTTTTTTAATAGCATCGCGTAAGCTCCAAGACTAGGCCTTCTGGCAATCCATTCTTTAACCCATATATTCTTTTTCTAGATTTTCTTGACTGTTTGCGTAAAATTGCAAAAAGACGAGCAGTGGCTGCAGCTCTCTTTTTACGGCGCGACATTTTTCTTCTAAACAATATACTTGTGCAATTTCTTGCTCAAAGCAAATGCCTAGAAAGTACTTGTTGCAAGAAATTGCTTTAAAATTTGCTTAAATTTAAACACTATTGCAAGTTACTCTAGCAAGTTCTATCGCAATTTTCTATCCCGTGTAAACTACGCTTAATGTACAGAAAATTTGAAAAATTATGGATTGGTACAGAGTTACTTGTTCCACGTATATTTCGTAAATAAAGAGTCATTGTTGCTGCGAAAATATTCGACATTACCTATATACCCATGTCGTCGCTTATTTATACAGTACAGCGGCATGTTAGTTTTTTGTGTTTTTTTTCTGTTGTCGTTAATTTGTGTTCTATATCCCCATTAAAACATGAAAATTTAAAAAGAAATTCCTGGCACACTGTTTCCATTTATATTGTAATGTCACAGGTACCATATAATCGAAAAAAAGGTGTAAAGTTGGCTTGGAATTGGCGATCGATGACATCAACCATAATTTCTTATAAAATGACGCGATATTTATTTCTAATCCAACTCTGACGTGTTTTTTATCGTATTATATAAATAATCTATAAATTTTGTTGCGTATAATTATTACATAGATGTATAATAAAAAAATGTATTAGAATTTATTTATTATTATGGTTTATTAGCTTCTTTCTACAAGCATTACTAGTTATTTAAATAAGAAACTTTAAAAACTATTCATATTTCGCAAATAATGAAATGAAAAGTGATTATAAACATATGCAATTTCTCAAACTACCAATTGATTCAGAAATTTAAAATAGGCTCAAGTCTTAGGCCAGTAAGTGGGGGTTTTAGGGTCCGAATTCTGAACACCTGCACCGATTGACGTGAAATTTTAACAGTGATTAGAGATATATGTAAGAAACAAAAATTACATAGTAGCGATGTGTGCTTTCACCCTGGGGGTGAGTGCCCCCCTTCTGGTAATAAATCACCGACTTTAGTTGCAAAAATCAATGAAGGGATGAATTCTAAGCAAAAAATCGAGTTAAAATTTCCGAGTTATTTAGGATTAAAAATGTTGATTTTTCATCTAAAAACTACATATTTTTCTGCAATTTATTATAAATAACTCGAAAACCTTGCATTTTATCGCAAATCCCATAAAAGGCAAACATGAAGCTTTTGGGATAACTAAACAATTCATTTTTTGTTGATTACCTTAGGTGTAATAATAGCCGAGTTATCACTCTGTAAAGGTGATTTTTTATTTTTCGAAAACTAAATTGCAACATTTACCATAAAATAATGACGAAAGAACACATATTTCGAAGAAAATGAATATGACCGTTTTTAAAGTGCTTGCAAAAGACCTTTTAAATTTATTTTGAAGTCATGATTACAAAGTCCCGCTTAAGATGGGCTGGTCACGTATGCAGATTGCAAGAAAACCGCGTACCAAAATCTCTGCTTTACGGTGAGCTTGTAGGCGGTAAGAGGAGGCCGGGTGGACAACTCAAAAGGTTCAAGGGTATTTTCCACGAAAACTTAAAGGGAATTAACAAGCAGAATGAGTGGGAAGAGGCAGCTCACAATAGGACGGAATGGAGAAGAATTGTAGGTAATTATTGGGAAAAGTGGAAATCGTCCGATTTTCACCAAAATTGGTATACACCCTATTTTGAGGTCGTAGATTACGAATCTGAACTTGTTTCCTGGCGGTCTCTTACCGTTTTTCAGAAAAACGGAAAATTATGTCAACATTGAATTTTTCTTAATTTCCGCTGTATAAAGTAGTAATATCACTATATTTTCATTATATTATAGTTTATCTAAGAGCTGTTCTTGATTGTGGATAGAAAAATACCCAAAATTTTACTGAAAACACTTTTCTTAATAAAATAAACAAAGAAAATTTCCACCAAAACTGACAAGATTGACACTAGACCGTTCATATATCCTTCTTTCTCTCTCCTATGCAACGAGAGAGACAAATATAATCTAGACCTGATCTAGAAATCTGAAAATTTGCAACGTTGCCATGTCTTGTATTTTTTCGGGGGATTAGGGAGTTTAAATAAAATACGTTTTATTTAATATACTTTTTAATAAAATAAGTATATATTTAATTAAACTACAATAATAATCCAACATTCAATGCAGGTTTTGTCCAACTTCGTCACCAACATTTTTCTTAGAAGTTTATCAATATATAATATTCAAGCTTACATTAATTTTAACATTATAATAGGAGGTGTCTGTTAAGTAGATATCTTAATTAATTAATAGTAATTATGTCAAATAGAGGCGGGACAAATCTCTGCCAGGAAAGGGATGAGGGTGGGATCATTTCGCTCGCCATTTTCTAGGATATATAAGAGTAGTTGTGGATAGAATAATAAATTGGGTTTGGTTAAGGTTAAGTTGGTTTGGGTTTTGGTACAGTTTTTTTTTGTTTTTTTTTGTAAATCATCATTCAATCGTCCACTCTCACAATAAAATAGAGGCACAGTAATCCACCTAAGCGTTTTGCTCCATATTGGCAGAGAGGGGATAGACATTTGAGATATATTTAAAAAATTCATGGTACATCTCCTGATGTTTGGGTGTTCGAAATTTCCTCCGAAATAAATATTCCGCCAAATAACCGGGAAAATGATCTTTTGCCCGGCCATATTTAGGAACATTTCTGCTCAGATCCCTCCATGCTCTCTCAATATTTTGCGTGTGAACTCCAGTGTCTGGATCGACAAAATTTTGGGAGTGGTTTACCGTCAGATGTTAGAAACCTTCATCTGCCAAGCAGTTGTACGATTTCCAACAATCCGATATTATTGTAGTACCCGGTAGTACCCATTCTTGAATAACCGCCAGCAGATGCTCCTTCGACCGTTCTTCAACGGGTACCAAAAAGCTTTTTTGATTCCCGTTCGATTCCTCCGAAAATCCATTGACAGTCGATTACTCTACCTCTATTATATTTTCGTTTGCCCATCTTACATTCGTCGATCTCTACAATAACCCCTAGGCCCCCCACCTTTTGGGAGTTATCAACCAGACAAATTAAGCAAACTTCCCTGCAGAAATTTGTCCAGTTGACAACAGTATCGGACGCCAATTGCAGCTCGACCATCATCCACTCCTGCCCGTGATTATGGGCTAACCAGTAAAACACGAACTTACAAATTGTTTGAATGTCCAAATGCGCCTTCTCAAAAAAAGTTCCCCTCTTTACCCCAATTTTAAACGTACATTTAGTCTCCCCTTTTTTAGACAAATACACTGTATTAGTGCAACGAAATCTAAATTTATCGCGTGCGTAAAATTTGCAGGGTACATGGCATCTCGGACAATTTATAGGTTCGATAGAAAATACCCCATGAGAAAATAAAAAATTATTTAGTTTACCCTCATCATTGACTATATTATACATACCTCCGACGTCCAAAGTGCATCCATTGCAGGGCTCCATTGCTAAATACTTACTTGTCTTCAGTCGCAGAAAAAAGCTCTGACTGCACCTCGTGCACATTAATCAATAAAAATCAGTTGGAAAAATCGTTAGAATCTAACGGTTTTTGCCTTGGAATGTAGGGAAAATATTTCCCTTTCCATGAATCTGGTAATCCCAGAGAGGGCGAAAAAAACGCGCTAAATTTAGGTTTAGCATTGGCAACGTCGCTTTAATTTATTTTAGCAAATTTTCCTCTATTATGCATAGAATTGGTT